TGAATCATGATAGCTCCTATTTTAGCTATTTCAGCATCTCTTCATGTGACTTTTGCTTGTATCTTCGATTACGAAGAAATCATACCGAGTGGTTCACTGTCATCGAAACGACTGATGATGTTTTAAATTCTCAATTAATTACAGTGATGACAACAACACATTGAAAAAAACAAAATCAAGAGAAAACTAAAGCACGACTCTCTCGATCAGTGCATGACTATAATAAATTCATAATGCTAAGGCTGCTCGCTTGCAGGACAAAGACGTCATCTCGGTCCTGATAGCTCCTCTGGATCAGGATGAGATGCAATGTCAGTGAGGGTGCTGCGAGATTGAAAACCACCTTGGCAGAAAGCACGTACTATCTCCTCTTTTTCACTCTCCCATCTTTCAACTAAGCTGCTTCCTTTGAGAATTTGGACTGCCTCCGACATCGTGGGTCGTTTTGTTGGTGATTCTTGGACGCACAAGAGAGCCAGTTTGACTAATTTCTTAACCTCATTCTCATCGTAGTCTCCCCTCAAGTTCGGATCGACCAGACATCCCAACTCGTTATGTTCCAGAAGATATTTTAGCCACTCGAAATCATCGATTCTTTTTGTGGGTTGGTTGATGCTTCAAAAACCAAAAGCCCCAACACTAGAGATGAGCTGAGCTAACACTAGAGATGAGCTCGAGGAGCACCACCCCAAATGCGTAGACATCATTCTTTACCGAGAATTCCCCGTGTAGCGCGTACTCCGGAGGGATATATCCTAATGTACCACATATTTTATTGGTACGGTATAACTCTGCTGATCTTTCCAGAGCCAAAAAGGGCCTCTCCTGGTTGTTCACTGCTTCAGTTCCGGCCATCTGGTGTGGTGCCCCAGCGCTTTTCGACTTCTGGACTTGATGTTTCCAATCTTCATGATTCATGAATTTTGCCAAGCCGAAGTCCCCAATGAGAGGTTCGAAGTTCTCGTCCAACAAAATGTTTGAAGGCTTTATGTCGCGGTGAATTATCTGAAGACTGCAATCCTCGTGAAGATACGAGAGCCCTCTCGCTACTCCCAAGGCAATGTGCATCCTGGTAAGCCAATCGAGAGGGGGTTGCACTGCAGTGCGCTCCCTTAAATGGGAAGTCACATTTCCGTTGACCGCCAATAGATATACTAGCAGGTACTCTACCGGTTCTGTTCTTGCCTTTTTTTTCTTGACAGGTTTTTGTGGTTCCATTGAATCGCAAAAGCCGAGTATTTGGATCAGATTCCGGTGCCTGGCCATACTCCCAACCTTCACTTCAGCATGGCCAGATAGATGGGTATATCTTTTTATTGCCACCAGACATCCATCAAGCAAAAGTCCTCTGTAGACCATACCAAACCCACCTTGGCCCAAAACATTCTCTTCGCTGAAATTGCCAGTCGCGACTTGCAGTTCCTGGTAAGTAAATTTTCGAAGCTGTACCTGAGGCCTAAGCAATTGGAGATTCGAGTCGTCGGAGGAGGATTGCTTCGGCCTCCAACAAGAAACCTCGACGGCAGGGGCAGTGAACCCAAGAGAAGCGCCTCCAGCGACTCTGCCCGCGACAGCCATAGCTCGGGTGAAGCTCTTGCCAAGTGGCAGGCAAACGGTGGACGACGGCGAGGTAGGCGGCGAAAACAGAGTGGAAGCATCGACATCCTCAGTGAGATCAATGGTGGAAAGATTGAAAACCATCTTTCTGATGCAACACTATTGCTGGTATGTGCTTGTATGGTTCACGCTCTGAAAGTGTGGAAGATTTGATTTAAATGGAGCCTATGCCCCCCAGTTTCCCGTCAACTGGGTTGTTTCTAGGCAACATCCTGGAAGGAACATCCTGGGTTATTAGCCCAGGAAGTTTCGCTGAAATTTTCTTTCTCCGCGTTGCGACAAGTCAAACCAAATCCTGTTGCCACCTAACTCGCAACGGTGAGCTGTACGAGACTACGTGGTTGTGCTTCGTATGGGTCTACTGGAAGGGAGACTCCGCGCGAGGACAAAATCATTTCCAAAAATGATTCATCGACTCGAAGATTGATTACTAATGTCGATAATCTTGAAAAAATCAGCGGTGAATTTTGGATGCGTAAATAGATTTCGAATTAAAGTGAAAATTGAGAAATCTTTTTGGCCAAAAAAAGGTGATGACAAAATTGAGATTGGACTTAATTAAAGGCTCCATTCGTTTTGCGGAAAATGCGATATTTCTGAAAAATATTTTTCATGAAGCTATTTTTCGGGAAAATGATAATATTTTCCGGTATTCAACTAAAACGTAAAAATGAACTTGAAAATATTTTCCGTCGCTCAGTATGGAAAATCCGATTTGATTTTCTTCATTGCACTCTTTTTAATAATTTTTTTATTTATATATATAATCAAATTTTTTATTTTTTATTTTAAAATTATTTTTTGATTCTGAATTTTTAATTTTTTTATATTTCTTTTCTTTTCTTTTCTTTTTTCATTTTTTTCTTCCTCTGCCGGTCGCCAACCACGACGACAGCCGGTGACTAGCCTCGAGTGAGGCTCGACCTCCCTCACTCAAGGTTGAGCCTTGCCTCGCCGGCCTCGAGCAAGGCCTTGCTAGATCCGACTAGGCAAGGCTCGAGCTTGTCGGCCTCTAGCGAGGCCGAGCCTAGCCTCGCCTCACCAGACATGGGGAGGCTTAGCCTTGCCTCGCTAGACCCGACGAGGCTCGAGGTGCTCACTTGTGGCCGGTTGTCGGCCTTCGCTGTGGCCGGCGACTGATCGGAGAAGAAGAAAAAGGAAAAAAGAATAAAATAAAAGAAAAGAATAAAACAATACAAATAAAACAATTAAAATTTAGAATTTTAATAAAAAGAAAGGTTAATATCACGAAAATCCCCAAATTAGTATACATGTGATAGATTTACCCCGAATTAATTTTTTGACAACAAAAAACCCCAAACTTGTATACTTGCGACAAATTTACCCTCTTTAAAATTGGATTAACACCGCGAAAAATCATAAATCGATAAACCTGTGACAAACGAAGGGGTGAAACCCCAAATTAGTATACCCATTAACTGTTACATGTCATACAGCTCAACAATTTGACTGTAAAATTTAACGAAAACTAACAGAGGATAAATTTGTCACATGTGTACAAGTTTGGGATTTTTGGCGGTCAAAAAATTAATTCGGAGTAAATTTGTTACAGATTTATCAACTTAGGGTTTTTAGGGTCCGTTTGGTAACGTGCAAAACAGTGAAAATTTCTGTTCTTTTGTTCCCAGAAATAGTTTGGGAACAGAAATGCGTTTGGTAAACCTTTTGTTCCCAGGCACATTTTTGCAAAAATTTGTGCCCAGAAACAGTTTTGGAAGAGAAACAAGAAGTAAAAAAAAGTTGCTTCTTGTTTCTCGGCACAATTTTGAGAATGAGTTCTTTTTCTTCTTTTTCGTTTTTTTTTCTTTTCTTGTTTGTGTTGTTCTTCCCTGGGCTGTGGCCGGTCACCGGCGGTCGGCCATGGCCAAAGAAGGGAAGGGTAGAAAGAAAAAAAAAAGAAAAAAATATTAAACAATTTAAAATATTATTAAAATATTATTAATAAAAAGAAATTTTGTGTAGTTACTAAACGTATTTCTGTTCTTTTCTATCCCAGGAATAGAAATTTTGGACAGTTACCAAACGCCTTCAAATGCTCAGAAATTGTTTCCGGGCACAGAATAAAAAAGAATCATTTCTGAGTAGAAATAGTTCCCGGGCACAGAATGATTGTCATGCGCACCCTTAGTGGTATTAACCCTAAAAAGAAAATAAAAAATAAAAATAAGAAATAATTAAAAAATTGAAGGTGAAAGAAGGAGCACGGAAAATGATTTCCTCTTTTCAAAAGAGGAAATAATTTTCTCTACTTTTGAAGGTGTTTTTTTTTCAATGAAGGAAAATGTTTTCCTTGACTAATTTATTATTCGAGAAACAAATGCCAAAAAATTCGGAAAACATTTTCCTAGAAGTTGTTTTCCGCGAAACGAATAGAGCCGAAGTTCGAAGTTTTTTTAAGAAATTAAATCATGAAATGGGGCTATTCTAAGTCTTTCAAAATTGATCGTGTCAGTCTGTATATATTTTTCTGAATGATTTCATTCGTAGCAATAGAACTACAGCCCCCAACGTACTGACACTTTTTCTCGTGATATATCTAATTAACACTTGAAAATCACAAATTCTTGATCCATATACATCAATTTTTTTTTTTGACAAAAGAGATCATTCTTTTTTTTAATTTGATTGCCCAATGGGATCTAGTTTTGAATAAACTTAAAGTATTTCAAAAAAATTTCAATTTAGTTATGAAAATATATAGGGTTAATACCATAAAAAACCCCAAACTGGTAAACCTGTGATAATTTTACCCAAAATTAATTTTTTTACCACAAAAAATCCTAAACTGATATACCTGTGACAAATTTACCCCAAACTAACATTTTGACCACTAAAAACCCAAATCCGGTACATTTGTGACAAATTTACTCTCCGTTAGTTTCCGTTAAATTGAATTAATACAAAAAAAAATCACAAACTGTTACACCTGTAACAAACGAAAGGTAAAACATAAAACTAGCACATCAATCAACTGTTGTGTGTCATTTAACAAAGCAATTTAACAGTAAAATTTAACGAAAATAAATTGAAGGTAAATTTGTCACATGCGTACCAGTTTGGAATTTTTATTGGTCAAAATATTAGTTTTGGGTAAAATTATCATAGGTGTACCAGTTTGGGATTTTTGTTGGTCAAAATATTAGTTTTGGATAAAATTATTACGGATGTATCGGTTTGCAGTTTTTTGTGGTATTAACCCAGTATATTAACTTTTCAGTAAACACAAAAAGAAGAGTTAATTTACTCATATAACTTCGGAAGCAACTCCCCCGCTCCAAGGCGGCTCCCAAGTGAACTCCGCACATCTCCTGGAAGTGGAGATTTTCCACCGTCTCCTTTCCTCTCGCATTTCGCTAATCCAAATGCATTTGAGCTTTCGAAGGATCGCCTCCTCCGACGTCCGGCCCTCCCTGATCCTCCGCCGCACCACCCGCAGACTCAACTCCACCCCATCTCTGTCGCCGGACCCCACGGCGGAGCCCTTGACGCCGCCTCAGCTCAAAACCCTCGTTCTCGGTCGGTACACCAAGGATGGCAAGTTCTCCGGCCTCCTCCGCCAAGTCGTGTCTTCGCCCGCCGTCCTCCTCGCAGCCTGCCGGAACCTCGTTGCCCCGAGCCCTCCCGAGGCGGCTCCCCTGCCTCCGCATTCTTCTCCCCTGCTCGAGTCGGTGTCGAGGCGCTTCTCGCTCCCCGAGATGGGCCGCGAGATCGCCGAGGGCCGGTTCGACGTCGCTGCGCACTGCGTCGTGATGGCGCCGTCGAGGAAGAAAGGTGAGCCCCTGGTCCTGCCCAGCTTGAGACTGAAGGTCTTGATCGAGGCCCTCAGGATGGTCCTGGAGGTCATATATGATGAGAGGTTTGCGACGTTCGCTTATGGCGGGCGGGTCGGTGTGGGGCGCCACACGGCTGTGCGATACTTGAAAAGCTCTGTGCAGAATCCCAGTTGGTGGTTCACTGTGAAATTTGATAGGCAGAAGTTTGATTGTGCACATGTGAGCAAATTGTGTAGGGTCATTGAAGAGAAGATCGACGATGCTCTTTTCATTGATTTGATAAGGAAGCTGTTTGAGTGCGAAGCCGTGAGCATTGAATTTGGCGGGTGTTATCTGGGGAGAGGGTTGCCTCAAGAGAGTGGCTTGTGCGCCATTTTGATTAATGTATACTTCAATGGATTGGACAAGGAAATTCAGGAATTACGGCTTCGAATGAATAAAGAGAATTTTAAGTTTGATTCTAATGAGAATGCTTCAGATTCGACATCGAATGTGTTTTACAAGCCCGTGAAGGTGTATGCAGTTAGGTACTTGGACGAGATGCTGTTTATAACGTCAGGGTCAAAAATTTTGACTCTGGATTTGAAGAATAAAGTTGCGAAGTATATAGAAGAGAAGTTGGAATTGAAGGTGGATAGAGTGAGAACTGCAATTCACAGCCCCATGATGGAAAAGATTGAGTTCTTAGGGATGGAACTTCAGGCAGTCCCGCCTTCTGTTTTGCATCCCATGCCATCAGAAAAAGCCATTAGGGCTAGGAAGAAGTACCTAAGACAGAAGGAAGTGAAAGCTTTAGAAATGAGAAATGCTAGGGAGAGGAATAGGAAAAAACTGGGATTGAAGATTTTGAGTCATGTTTTCAAGAAGTTGAAACGGAGCGATGGGTTCAAATCTGAAGTCCAAATCGACAATGAGGTCACCGAGATTTTCAGAACATGGGCAGATGAAGTGGTGCAGGACTTCTTAGGATCTCTGGAGGAGCGGTATAATTGGCATCGGGTGCTCTCAGCTGGAAATTTTCTTTCTTTACAACGCATAAGAGACCAATTGCCGCAGGAACTTGTCTTTGCTCATGACAAGTTCCAAAAGCAAGTAGAGAAGCACTTGTCTCCGGTCAAAGCTATGAAGGCATTGAGGGAAGAAGAAAGGAGAGAAGAAGAAGACAGAGAACACAAGTATGCAGAGATGACAGTTCATGATTTGACACAATTGTGCATTAGAGTTGATGCACCCATTGAACTTGTTCGAAAGGCAGTTAAAATGGCTGGATTTACAAACAATATGGGTCGTCCTAGACCGATCAAGCTACTCATTGCTCTAGACGATGCTGATATCGTCAAATGGTATGCAGGTGTAGGGAAAAGATGGCTTGACTATTTCTGTTGCTGCCACAACTTCAAGATGGTAAAGACTGTTGTAACGTATCACATGAGGTTCTCTTGCATTTTAACTTTAGCAGAGAAGCACGAATCGACCAAACTTGAAGCAATTAGGCATTACACCAAGGATTTAAAAGTCTTGGATGCATGTGAAAATGAAATGTTGTACTTTCCCACAGAAAAAGTGGTTAAGATGATGGGAGATGGAAACCTTTCAGATCCAAAGCCTGTTGAAGGGGTTCTAACTTTGGCGCTGATTAGATTGGCTTTCGATTGTGAGGCACTTCATTCCTGTATTGCTCATTTCTGTGACCGAACTGATGTAGTTTTTTATCGGATACGATTACTTCAAAACAGATTAAATGTAAACCCGCTGAACGAGGAGAAGTGGATATCGGGGATGGGTGCAATTCATGAGAGTTTGAATCGCAAGTGCCTTCCCATCTGTCCTGTCCATATACATGAATTGTACATGGGCATAATGACACTTCAAGACATTGATGTTAGTTCATTTGTGGACGTGGATGATCTATGATTTGTTTGATTGGATCCCCAGTTCATGAGTGCTATCATGGTGGATTGAGACCTTCTGAATTGGGGTGGATTGAGACCTTCTGAATTGGGGTGAATACTGTGTACAGGTAAGTGCCCCACTTAAGCATCAGCTTTCACTTGGGTTTGCTTAGATGTCTATTTTTTCTCTCTAAATAATCTGCTTATTCTTTCCGAGTGCGGTTGCCTGAATGGTGCTCAATATACAATAACTATATAGTCTAGATGTTATAAGTATTATAGCCACCAGATCATGTGCTTGTTTTTATAGCTGGATCCTTACTTTTTATTGGCCATTGACTTGGTTGTTCCCATATAAACGTGCCGGATTGAATAGAACACCAAAAACAGTTTTTACTTATAATTCTAAGCTTATGTTGATTATTCTACTCTATCAGGATAATGCAGGCATAGTTTCCTAGCTGTTGGAAAATCTGATCTAAAACTCCACATAGCATGTTTGATCCAATTGAGACGAATATTGGGATGGACTGGTAGTCCAGCCATAAAACTCAATTTTGACCTCAAGCATCTTACCCATAATGGTGATTCTTTTGCTGCCTTCAATAACAGTGTACTAAGTACAATTTCTGGGGTGCACCTGCATCTGACTAGCTCTATATTTGCTCAAACAAGTTTATTTGGTTTAGCTGTAATGTCTGCAAGCACTGCAACATTTACAAATGACTCGCGGGCCTTCTTGCCTTTCTTTTAAAGTTATTTTGTGTGCTCATGTGCAGGCTGGTATCTGCCAGCCTTGATGTAAACATCCCTACTCCCTAGTGTCCCACTGCATCCAGTGGCCAACTGACGAGGACACCTACTCGCTTCTCCAATTACAATACCAAGATGACTTTTCCCAATGATGGGATATGCACCTCTCGTCTTAGAATGTCAGGTAACGTACTGGATATTCCTTTGGTCTTAAATTTTCACCTAGTCTTATGTATTAACTTCGTCATTTCTCGCTGCAGATTTTTTATGACAATCTGCAATGAGAGCCTCGAATTCCTTATCCAACAAAATGTTTGAAAGCTTTATGTCGCAATGAATTATCCGGATACTACAATTCTCATTGAAGACAGCGAAGCCCTCTTGCTACTCCTAGTTTGATGTGCATCTGTGTTGGCCAGTTGAGAGGGGGCAGCAATCCAACCCATTGCCTGCGCCGCTGATGCTTCCATAAACTATGAGCCAGAGTTCCATAAGCCAATAAACGGATGTACAAGAAAGTACTCTTGCTGTTTTGTGTTCGTTTTTACAAGTTCCTGCGAATGTGCTTCCTTGCAAAAGCCAATTATTTGAGGCAGATTCCGATGAATGGTTGCTCTCTGGACCTGTAATTCTGGTCGAAACTGACGCATGGACAAAGCAGTAGGCGTGCATGGTTCGCATCTTCTAACTGCCACAAGAGAGATCCATCAGCTACCTGGCCTTTATAGACCTTAGCAGATCCACCTCTGCCAATCAAGGTTTTTCTCACAGAAAATTGCCAGTTGCAACTTGCAGTTCATGATAAGTAAATATTTATAGCTTTGTCAGAGAAGTTAGCAGGGTTGTATGGAAACTCCGAGGATTTCTTCTGATTCCATTTAGAAATATCAACAGCGGAGGCAGCACAATTGGCAAATCATTCCATGACTGCAAGAGCTCTAACGCAACCATTTCTGAATGCTAGGCAAATTGTGGACGGCAGAGAAGTAGGCAGAGAGAACAGTGTGGACCAGTCAATGTTTTCTGTGAGATCGACGGTGGAGAAATTGAAAACCATCTCTTTTACCGCTCTCAATCAAAATGTGGAGTCACTGTTTTCTAAGGTGTGGGAATTTAATTTTTGCAAAGGCCCTTTTTTCCTATTCAAGATTACACCCTGGGGGAACTAATGTTCAGGAAGTATCCCAGAAATTATGTGATTGACAATGATGCGTTCCACGTGCATTGAAGTCCCAAACTGAAGTGGTTAAGATTTGATGTGTAATGCAAGGAGATGTGAGAGTATTCATCCACAAAACAATCACCTTCAATTGAAGGTCAGGGCCAACACTGGATGGATCGAGTCAGCTTGTTGTGGAAAATTGGTCGCAGAAGAGAGCGATACAGATGAGTTCTTCAACATTGTATTAAGTCCTAATCACCATCCAAGCCCGCATCTCTTAGACTTTTCAACTTTTCATATACCCGAAGTCTTTGTCACTCATGAATTCATGTGATCTACTTTATATCCATGAATTGACTAACAATTATGATTAGGATAGAGAAAACAAGATTCTGAGTCTTGATCTTAATGCAAAAATCGTCGGTCTTCTGCTAATACCGAATCGATCTTTGCTGGGGAGCTCTTTGAGGGTCTGAATTTAATTTTGAGAAAATTCTTAGAAGCTCTAAACTGAGTCCATTTCCTCTATGTGATGGAGCCTCCAGTCGAACCATGGGTGAATGAAGTATTTAAGGGAACATCAGCATAAGAAAAACAGGCAGATGCAAATCATAGTTTCAAGCAATCTGATAAACTGGGCAGTGACATTTTCTAGCGGCAAGCAGGTTTTGAAAACGAGATTTTACAACTTCTTCAAAGAGTAGAAAATGTTGCATTGGCCGACACTTCTGTGAGACTAGGTATGTTCAGTTCTTATATATTTTTTAGCTTATATGAAGCATACAATGAAAACTATCTAAACAGATTTTTGGTGGACATCTGAGAATGAAAAAGAAGGGCATTGAATCTCCATATAGGTGATCTTCTGCAATAACTATCCATATCAAGTTAACAATAAATATGTCAAGCTAATCAGTATTATGAAAAAAGTAGTCATCTGTCATTGGAAATTTTTTAAAGTTTAAAGTGGTCTTCCATGCTTAAAATGCCTTAGGATCAAAACCGAGTTTCTGAATCACGACTAGATGCACGCGTACTACCATAGTAGGAAGGTTCTAGTCTTTGAGTTAGATGTCCTGAGTTACTTGAATCTGCCAACAGATCTGTCATGGTCAATCAGCATCAGAACAAGGAAACGGAAACATAGACAAACAAGAGAGGATTTTATCTTGGGCAAGCTAAGTACAAGCCAAAAACAACCAGACCATTCGGTTTTTGTCCATTTAACCATAAATGTGAACGCTCTCTCTGAAACATGATAAAATATCTGTCGCATGGTTGAAATCATTAATCACCAACTTTTGTTCATCTGTCACTGTCCACCATCAAATTAGGCAGAAAGCTTGATGCAATAAGCAAGACACATGCTGTAAATGCCAACCCCGAATTCAAATGTCCAGACGAGTTTTGGTTATGATAATTTGCAGGAACAGCCTTATAAACATAAGTTCCAATTGGTTATCTTCACCAATTCATCGAACAGTCTGTTGTCAGTAACAAGCATCAAAGACCACAAATCTTCGCTAAAGATGTGAAATATGCATCCACCAAAATATGCAGACAGTGACAGCTAGTTCAATTTGAGTCATTCTACAATGAAGTTTTGAGCATTCCCTTCAACCATCCTGACCACTTGCGACATATCGGGGCGTCTCCCTCTGTACAAGCCATAGCTAATTTAATCAACTTCAGCATCTCTTCTTCCACGAACTTCCCATGCAGAGAGCAGTCAATTGACACATCCAAATTTCTTTCATCAAAGGCACTTTCACCCATTCAAACACATTACAGTCATTGGCAAGTTGGGCAAGATCCGAAATACTCCTTCCCGCTGTGACTTCAAGAAGCATGATCCCATGTGCATACACATCAGTCTTTGTCGAACATCTCCCAGTGATGAAGTACTCGGGATCCACATGCCCACGTGTTCCGACCGCATCACTTTCGACGCAAACCTCTTCGTAGTCCATCAACACTGCCAGTCCAAAATCTGCAAGAGCCACTCAGTACTTCTCATCCAATAGAACATTCAAAGCTTTAATATCTCGATGGATGATCTTGGGATTGCAGTCTTCATGCAAGTAAGCAAGCGCCTTGGCAACTCCAGTCGCAACCCTCATCCTTACTGACCATTCCAGGGTGGTCCCTCGATCTGAAAGATTTGACCGAGATGATCTCAAGTGACGTGCTACGCTTCCACAAGGCATAAACGGATAAACTAGAAATAGTTCTGTGGGTATGATGCAGAACCCAAGCAGACTGAGCACATTGCGATGCTTGATTTTGCTGCTCACTTTCAGTTGTGTCAGGAACTCTGCGAGGTTGCTTCCTTCCATTCTCTTGACTGCTACTAGAGAACCGTCCACTAAGCTTCCCTTATAAACCATGGAAAATCCACCCTCACCCAGAACATGGGCAAAATTATTCGTCATAAGTTGTACCTCACGTAGAGAAAACCTCTTGACTAGTCCTAGATGACTCTCCAGATCCTCTTCAGAAGGTAAACAATTACTTAAAGAATCCTTCGGTTGCTTCTTCAAGACTTGCCGCCACCACGGAAGCTGGCTTGGAGGGACGAGGCACGAAGAAGCAGGGGGAGCTGCATTGCCTTTCACTATAGCCCTTACCAAACTGCAACTTGCTTTGCCAGAGGATGACGATGAAGAAGGGCTCGCTGGTGGCAACGAAACCGGGCAAGTATAAAAAATGTCCCCTATGTTACTGGAGCTTAGGTTGAACACCATCTAAAACCCAGATAGACAAGAGTCACTTTTGATTTTTCAGAGATCTGATGCAAGAAGCGCTTGAACTTGGTTGGAAAAGATTATGTGAATGAGAATGAGGTAGCTGTATCAGAGTCTTTGATCCATCATTCAAGGTTGAACTGAGGGAATTGCTACTGGGCATGGCCACGGGTCATCTGGGTAGCTGCCACCATTCCGGTTGGACTTTTTTTGCCCACTAATCCCACTCGTTTTGGCAGAATTTTCAAAACAGAGACATCACAACACAGAAGACACCATTTTTTATTGAAATGGTTGAAAAACTTTGAGCCGATAACATTGACCAGCCATTCATTAAATTTAAGGTTGTGGTTTGAACTTGGAGGTTGTGCACTGGACTCAGATTCTGGAAATTACTCCACAATCATCTGTAATCTCAATAACCTCTGTGAAACAGCGGCCAGAGGGGAAAAAATGAAGGGAGTCTGCAGACAGACTTGTGACCACTCCAGCCAGAGACTCCAGCTAAGATGAATCCTCTTGTGGCTCTGATCGGTCCAGTGATAGATGGAATTTAGGGAAACCCACGGGAGCCAATAGTTGCGCTCCGGTCACACGGACATGAGTCGTCCAAAAGATTATGATGGTTCTAATTGATTCACTTATTTATGAACTCATGATTGGCTTTTAAAAGGGCCCTCGCAAGTGGCTTTTCAGTCCCAATTCTCAATGCTGCTATTTCTTTGAATACTAGGAGTTGCTTGATTTTGGCCTGAAGGCTAGAGCCAGATAAAGAAGAATTGGTTCGGGGCTAATACAGTTATGCTCATACAATTGACAAACTCTTAATCTAAACAAACTCAAAAGGACAGTTATCTAACAGTAGCTAGGATCGGACACTTTTTCTAGCCTTAAGCAGATGATATATGCTGTGAGATTAATCAAGAAGCGGAAGACTGATTGGCACAAACTAGTGCTGATTAATTCTTGCATTTCTTGACACTGCTTCATTGTTTGGTTGACTGTCACTGACACCATTATGAGGTGAACATACGAACGGAGCTTGTGTTCTGTGAACCTGAAGGTCGGGTAAGAGAACTTTTGAGTTTTGTTGTACTCATGCCAGCAGATGCTTTTTTTTGGATTAATTTTACTAGGCATGTAGGAAGATTGGAACCGTAAGTTTCGAGGAAGCAAAAGAAGAATCGGACACCATGAAGTCCATATTGTTCTGGCTACTGCGGATGCCAGAACATTAAAGACAACTTGGTTGGGACACCGATTTAATTTGCCTTTGCCTTTCCCTACATTAGATAAAATATATGTAAACCAGATGAAAATGAAACGGAGTTGTTCGTAGCTGTCGAATTATAAAGTTCATTACATGAAGAAAGTGTTGAACCGGTCAGGCACTACAACACTTACCACAACAGTGGTTTTGTCGCACCCCAAAACCTATCATGATGAGGGGTGACACAGCCGTCCTTCTACCCGAAGGACGCAGCCTCAAACCACAAGAAATCCGACTCCCAAAAGTCCCAACGACATCGCTCTCGCTCTATTGGCTACTAACCAAGGAACCTGAAAGATTAGGAAAAGAGAGGGGTGAGCAACCACAGCTCAGTAAGTAGTGCGTATCTCTTCTAAGCAGATCGAGCAACCACTATACATACATAAAGCAATACCAAAAACTCATAATTTAAAATCCACAATATCATATACATATCATATCAAATATGAGTTATTTTCCTTTCACAAAACTTGATACAAACCAAAAAAATACTCATTTGATACACCATCACAATTCAATCATCAATGGTCAAGTCCATTGATTAATCTCGTCAAATCACACGTCAATGGTCTATTCCATTAACTAATCTCATCATAGAAGGCCTCATTCGGAGTAGAGCGCAGCCGCACCGCCATCGCTCTCAAGATTTGCCTGGCGTAAGTGTAAAACACATCGATGGTCTATCCATCGACCAATCTATTGCTCAATATCAAACCATGATCACGCGCATCTCGCCCCCCGTGATAAGGCAATCAAGATTCCCCCATTGGCAAAAAGTCTCCACTTACTATAAGCCGGTGGCTCGGCCCACAAGGTTATCCTAGACTAGCATGCGCATACCCCACAAGCCCCACATTGGGCTCACAGTGATATTGAGCACCAACACAAACTCACAACAATACTCTTCACAATTCACAATGCCAATCCAGAATAAATATCACATTTTGGTTTTACAAACCACAACATTTAATCTTCACAATACATTTCACATGGCATTTCTCAAGCTCTTTCAAAACCCTTCATAAACCAGTTCGTAAAACAGTTCATATATATAACTTTCTCAACACCTTTCATAATTCGTTTCTCAAATCATTCTCAAATCAAAATGGTAGTAATTGCTCGATCTTGATTTTTATGCACAAAACATGCTTATTAACTCATATAATACTCAAATCTTTATCACTTCAAAGACATGAGTTTATAAATTCATAGAAGAGATAGCACCACTCACCTGGAATCCCCAAAAATCAAACAATGACGCTCACTCGAATCGACGATCTCGTAATCCTAATAATTAAACGAGAATCGACGTCAAAACCAACTAAAATGCTACGATAACTACGAAACGGCTAAACGACACTTAAACGTTAATAGGACAACTCAAAGGCGCCCACAAATTGCTCATCCAAAGCGATTATCCAAAGCCCACAACACGGAGCTTGAGCACGAAACTTGATTGTGCCATAACTTTCTCCACTAAACTCCATTCCAAGTGAGCTTATAATCAAAAGAAAGCTCATTCAGAGCACTACAAGAACCCTGACTTGGCCGTCCCAAAATCGGAGCCTAAAACCGACGAAAATCGGCCTAAAGTCGCTGATCGCGCATGTTCACCTTGTGCGGCCAACTTCGAAAATTCATATCCGGCAAACCGAAAGTCCAAATCTAGTTCCGTAAAATCTTACGGCCTCGCAGCACCCTAAACTACCAATTATATATATTCATAGCTCAACGACTCAAAAATCGGGTTTCGCCACTCGAATAACTCAAAACTCCGAAATATGAATTTGTTGAAGCAGAAATAAATTGGCTGGGCTTGGGCTTGTAAGAGACATGGCTGGGTTTTTGTGGGCCCAAATATTACAGGTTTCCCCTCTTAAATTGGAAAACATAAAACTAGAAAGTGAAGAAAGCGTTCGAAGCCTTCTGGATCGAGACGAGATGTCAAATCGGAGATGATGCCATTAGAACTAGGGTGGCTATCATCCAGTCTTGCCGCATCCTCTTTCTTCCTCGCCCGTCATTCATCCACGCTGCCGCCCTACCTATGACATGTAGGGTCGTTCTTCAGAAGAAAACTGGGTACACAAGAATCAAAAAAGGATAAAAGTAGGAACAGCTATGTTGGTATGATGCAGAATCCAAGCAGACTGCGATGCTTGACTATGCTGCTTACTCTTACTTCTGTCAGGTACTCAGTAAAGTTGCTTCCTCATAATTTCTGATATGGCTACTGGAGAGCCATCCAGAGTTCTATCTCACGAAGAGAACCTTTTTGAATAGTCCCAGATGATTTTGCAGATGCTCTTCAGGAGGTTCTATCTTCTTGAGCCATCCACCAAAGTGCCCAAAAGATTAAAAAAAGATGGGGGTAAGTCTGTCAGACAGCCGTGTGACCATCCCAGCCAGAAACTCCAGCTGAGAACGATCCTCTACAGCTCTCATAGATCCAAGCAGAACCCAACAGAGCCATTAATCACGCTCTGGTCACACAGCCTTTGGTTCATCCACCAGACTTTGGTTCCTGTCTCCTTAGGTCTCAAGGACACAGAGGTACGAGCCTATAGAACAGATCCTGTTCAAGTAAGGTCGTGACTTCTCCTTCTCACTCCCTTGCTTAAATACCGATTATCCTTCGAGCGCGCTCTCGGTGTGGGACTTTGGGAGGTCGCACGTGTTACGCGCACTCAACCACAACTTCTCTGTTTTCTGTTTATTGTTTGGTAGCTTAGCTTGGGGCCATTCGTAGTATTTTTAATTTGCAAGTTCTTGACGTCCAACAGAGAATGCAACTCCCTGAATGTAAAAGTGAACGATGCTTGCTGGTACGGCCCAAAGAGTGGTCCTTTTACTTCAGCAGAGAAGAGACACATTTATAGCTGATAGTTAATGGCTGCCCATTGGGCTCAGGTGAGTGAAATCCAACACAGTTCTCATAGCCCACTTGAGAGAGAGAGAGAGAGAGAGAGAGAATGATGTGAGTACACAAAATATGCATGCGGGCTTTTCGATTGTCCACCAAGTACCAACCCTACTTTTGTTTTATTTTATTTTTTGTCCTTTTTGGGCCCTTGCCTCTATTTATTATTTTTGTTGGACACTCCCTTCGTTTATCTTCACCTTTTCAAACTTTTATCATTTTTTTTTTATGAAAAAGTTTAGGAGGAGGGAATGTTACCTCATGCCAATGCTACGGCATAGCCTAGAAGGTCTTCCGGTGGATTTACAAATCGCCTACCAAAAGGGGATGTAGCTAGGATAGGACATTTTTCTGTCTTAAGCGCATGATATATGCTGTGAAATTAATCAAGAAGCGGAAGGCTGATTGGCACAAACTAGTGCTGATTAATTCTTGCATTTCTTGACACTGCTTCATGTTTGGTTGACCGTTACTGACAGTATTATGAGGTGGACCTCCGAACAGAGCTTGTGTTCTGTGAACCTGAAGGTCAGGTAAGAGAACATTTGAGTTTTGTTGCACTCATGCCAGAAACGTCTGGAGCAGAAGCTTTCTTTTAGATTAATTTTAATAGGCATGTAGGAACATTGGGACCATGAGTTTCGAGGAAGGAAAAGAAGAATCGGATAACATGAACTTGGTCGGGACACCGATTTAATTTGCCTTTGCCTTTCCCTACATTGGATGAAGTATATGTCAACCAGATGAAAATGAAATGAAGTTGTTCGTTGCTGTTGAATTATGAAGTTCATTACATGAAGAAAGCGTTGCACTGGTCAGGCACTGCATATATAACAGTGGTTTCCTCTCTTAAATTGGAAAACATAAAACTAGAAAGCGAAGAAATCCTTTGAAGCCTTCTGGATCGAGACGAGATGTCAAGTCGGCGACGATGCCATTAGAACGAGGGTGGCCGTCATCCAGTCTTGTGAGCGCCGCATCCTCTTTCTTCCTCGCCCATCTTTCATCCATGCTGCCGCCTTCGAGGACTCAGACTACCTATGACATGTAGGTTGTTCTTCAGAAGAAACACAAGAATCAAAAAAGGATAAAACTAGGAACAGTTATGCTGGTGTGATGCAAAATCCGAGAGGGCGAAGCCAGTTGCCATGCTTGACTATGCTGCTTACTCTTAAAATCCTGTCTGGAACACGGTGAAGCTGCTTCCTCCTAACCTCTTGTACGGCTACCGGAGAGCCATTCACCAAGTCTAGCCCTTCATGAACTCAAGTGATTAACCTGTAATGAAAGATACAAAAAAACGAAGACAAAGATTAAGAGAGTCTGTCAGACAGACGTGTGACCATCCCAGCCGGCATATAATCCGGCTGAGAACGATCATCTACAGCTCCAGTGGATCCAAGCAGGACCCAGCAGAGCCGTTACTCACGCTCTGATCACACGGCCATAGTTCATCCACCAGACTTCGGTTCCTGTCTCCTTTGGTCTCAAGGACACAGAGGTACGAGCCTATAGAACAGATCCTGTTCAAGTAAGGTCGTGACCTCTTTCTCTCAATCCCCTCCTTAAATACCGATTATTCATCGAGCGCGCTCTCGATGTGGGACTTTGGGAGGTCACACGCATTAAGCCCACTCAGCCACAACCTCCCTCCACTGGTTCCTTCTCTTTTTTCAACTTTGTTTTTCTGTCTGTTGTTTCGCAGCTTAGCTTGGGGGCGATCTGTAGTGTTTTTGATTTGCGGGTTCTTCACGTTCAACAGAGAATGCAACTTTCCTGAATGTAAAAGTGAACGATGCTTGCTGTTGCAAGACCCAAAGAATGTTGTCTTCTTTTAGCAGAGAAGAGATATATTAATGGCTGCCGATTGGGCTTGGTGGAATCCAACACAGTTTTCAAGGCCCACTTGAGAGAGAGAGAGAGAGAGAGAGAGAGAGGATGCAAAATATGTATGCGGGCTTTTCAATTGTCCACCAAGTACCAATTTTACTTCTTCTCTTTCGCCTTATTTGTGCCGTTGCCTTCCTTTATTATTTTGGGATAAGTACATTAAAAATCTTAAATTTATTACGAAAATGCAATTAAATTTTAAAATTTTTAAAAAGTACAATCAAATCTTAAAACTTATCATGAAGGTGCAATGGAGTCCGAAAACTATCAAAAAGTGCAATGAAGTTTTAAAACTTGTCAAATTGATCCAATCAAGTCCTTTTGTTAATTACATTTTTTGAAAGTCTTAGGACTCGATTACATTTTCATGACGACCTAATTACACTTTTTGAAAACTTTAGAACTCAATTGCACTTTTGTAAAAAGTTTTAGGATTTGATTGCACTTTTTAAAAATTTTATGATTCAACTGCATTTTGGTAACAAGTTTTAGGATTTCTAGTGTACTTATCCCTATTATCTTTTAGAGTTATTATCATGAAAAATCTCAAACTGGTACACCTGTGATAAATTTACCACAAACTAATTTTTTGACCACCCAAAATTCCAAATTGGTGCCCCTGTGATAAATTTACCTTCTATTAATTTCCATTAAATTTTACTGTCAAATTACTTGGTAAAATGACACATGACAGTTGACTAATATATCAATTTGGGGTTTTACTCTCCGTTTGTCCCAAGTGTACTAGTTTGTGAATTTTTTTTTGTATTAATTCAATCTAATTGAGGTAAATTTATCACAAATGTACCAGTTTATGGTAAATTTGTCACAGGTGTACCAGTTTAGGGTTTTTGGTAATCAAAATATTAGTTTGAGACAAATTTGTCACAGATGTACCAGTTTGAGGTTTTTCTGGGTATTAATTCTATTTTTTTATGAGGCTCTACGTTTATCTTCCCCTTTTCAAATATACCTTTTACTAGGTGAAGTTGTCAAAGGAGAATTGTGGGAGGACAAATGTCACTTCCTCCCTCATTTCCTCCTTTTTCTTCCCATTTTTTTACTACTCCTTTTCTATTTTAACTTAACTTTTCAAAGTATTGATAGGGACGAAAATTATGAGCCAAATTTAAAATTATTAGTAAATATTTCAGTGCTCAACGGTTACTATTTTTGCAAGGGTAATTGTCCGATCAAATATTGGTCAATTGGATGAGCTAAATATAATTAGTATCTATCCATATTAAATCAAAATAGATCGGTTTCATAATTTCCTTATTTTAGGCCATCTCCGACTATCATATACTTCTCATAATTTTCCTTTTCCTTGATGATTACAAAAATAAGCGACGTCATTTTTCTTTTTTTTTTATATTCTATTTAAAAACATATATATGGATATATACGAAAGAAATTGTTCATATGATCACCAAAGATCAAAGAAATAATTTCTCACTTGAAATTCTACAAACATAAAACAAATCAGAGAAATGATGGTTCATTTTGTATCTAAAAAAACCATAAATCCTACAAATAATTTAAAGATATTAATCTTGAGCAAAATATCCACATTTGTGTGTGTCGAAACACATTTAAGTTTTGCATCTTCAGGAAATCATCAAATCTCTACAAGTAATTTAGAAGAATTAATTTCAAGGGAAAGATTCCCATTTTTTAGGTGCTATGGATGTGTGTGTGTATTAAATCATGGTTCATTTTGTATATAAATGAAATCATAAAATCTCTACAAGTGATTTAAAAGAATAAAACTCAAGGGAAAGATTCACACTTCACATCATCTTATTATGTATCCAAGCATGGGGGTAATGATATCACTCCATCTCATTTTTTTTAAGAAAAATATATTTACACTTTATATCATCTTACTTAGACCACACACTAACAAAGAGAGGCATTAAAGTTGAGTATTATCAGGAGAAAATAGAAATATTTATGAAAATAATACTTTCGTTATTGGTCAACTGTACAACATTAATCTATAATAGCCAACAAAATTTTGTGCGTAGCACGGCCAGCAAGACTAGTGAAATTAATGAAAATGAAGATAGTCGACGATGATGCAAATTACATATTCATGCCAGTGAACAGCATACGAAGTGTTAATTACTTAGACAATTATCCAGTTAAAGAATGAGATGGTTTTAGTACTTGTTTTGGCTATGATTATTGGCTTTTAGTTTAAAAGGTCAAGCCTCCTCACATATGGTGATTCGCTCCCATCTGATCTAATCTATTTTATGCAGTCGAAGTCGAAGTCAAGAGAACAGTTGTTCCGATGCTCACCACGTGGCACTTCATTTTGCTTCTGTAATTGCCATGTGATATATATTGGTCGAAGATATGTCTATATTATATATGTTTATAATGAGCTTAGGTGTTAGGAAATGGACAAAGAAAGCATATAAAGATTTTATCTCTTATTGAGTTTAAACTTAAAAAAGGATAAACTAGAGAAAGTATTTAAATTAAGCTCTTCATTAACATGATTTTTTAAATATAATTTCTTAGATCTATTTGTAAATGGCGAAAGTCTTATGCCAAATATAAAATACTGCATAAATATTTTAGAGTTCAGTTTGGCTTTGCCAGCATAATTCTCTGATCAAATTAGGACATGCATACATGGTAGAACAATTAAAATTGAACGAAAATATCTGTCGATTGGTAAGCTAAATCAAATTAGCATTTATCCACATCAAATTAAATATTAATTCCATATCTGTTTAAAACAATTGATCTAATCTTTCTGAAGCAATGGAAATTTCGAACCGTTGACCCTGACCATTTCGCATTATTTGAATCCGAATATCTAGGAGGAGTTATCATTTTGCTTGTATCGAAAAATATAGACGTAGACAATCGGTAAGCTAATGATAATATATAAAATGGAGCTTAGATGGACAAAATGGACACCACCATAATCCAAATGACCTAAAGGCCAGACTTAAAGCCCAAAAGGTTTAAATGTTGGGAAAATTACCAAAAAAGTCCTAAACCTTTTGTAATTGTACCAATTTAGTCCTAAACCTTTTTTTTTTTGCCATTTCAGTCCTAAACCTTTTGCAAATGTGCCAATTCAGTCCATCCGGCCACTTTTGGCCGGCCGACGCTGATGTGGACGCTGGCTAGCTGACATGGCATTATTTTAATTTTTTTTCCTTTCTCTTTTTTTTTTTTCTTTCCTTCTTCCCCCTGGCCAGACCGGCCAGGGTGAGGCTCGCCGGCGAGGTCACCTCGCCGGCGATGGCGAGGCCTCGCCCGGATCTGGTGAGACCTCGCCAGCCATGGGCAAGGTCGAGCTCGCCTAGCGACGGCAAGGTCTCGCCAGATCTGGGCAAGGCCTCGCCGTCGCTGGGCGAGCTCGACCTCGCCCATGGCCGGCGAGGTCGGCCTCGCCATGGCTGGCGAGGTCACCTCACCGGCGAGCCTCTCCCTGGCTGGTTTGGCTAGGGGGAAGAAGGAAAGGAAAAAAAAAAAGAGAAAGGAAAAAAAATTAAAATAATGCCACGTCAGCTGGCCGGCGTCCACGTCAGCGCTGGCAGGCCAAAAGTGGCCGGATGGACTGAATTGACACAATTGCAAAAGGTTTAGGATTGAAATAGCAAAAGAAAAAGGTTTAGGACTAAATTTGCACAATTGCAAAAGGTTTAGGACTTTTTTGGTAATTTTCCCTTTAAATGTTAGAAATGGACTCTGTGATGCCCATGTGCAAGTCCAGTGGAGGAGATTTTTCTGATAATTAATTGTGTTCTGAGTCTGACCCAAAAGAAAAACAAAGAAATTTGAACTTATTCCAAGAGTCGTCCATTGTTGTCATGTACTATCTTGATGTTTGCATTGAGCTATTGTTGAGCTTCTATTGATATATGTACTGTCCGAAAGCCAGTTGTTAAGAAGAAAAACGCATATTGTGACACGTTCTTCTTGTGATGGCCAAAAGAGCAAACATGTTCTTCTAATGACAAAAGTTGTATAATGGCCCAACATTCCAATGCATTTATTTGCAGTGTCGGTGGAATATAGGTTGGTTTTCAAAACTTTATGGGCAATAAGTGATCCGAAGACCATTTAATTCATTGACTCTTTTTATCATTCCCGACATGCACAAGGGATCGGACCAAAAAGAGCAACATCAACTCCAAATAGATTCAATGAACTTGGAGCCCATGGGGGTAAGCACCGATCTAGGTTTGAGCCAGGAACTAGAACGAACCGGACCGAACCAGTTTGCTCTGTATGGATTCCGCGGGAATCAATCCGATTCTCAGTTTCAGGGGCAGAACCGGACCAAACCAATAAATCGGCCCAGAGTATTTTTTTAAAAAAAAAATTTATTC